AAAGAAGCCAGCCGTGCAAAAAAGGGCAGGTTCATCCTTGGAGAAACTGGGCAGTCTTGAGCTGCCACTGTATCCCAGCTTCTGACTCTGAGAGTCGATGGCAGATCTCATTATTTGTGGATAATCTCCAGTAACAAACACAGGCCAGGCAAACCATCCTAATGTAAAGGCAAGATCACGTTCAGTAGCAGCAACATCCTCATTGCAGCCTGGGCGTAACGGTTCAAACCAGTCACTGTTGATGGCCAGAGACACTGCACCCCTCTGCTCTGCCCTATAGAGGGAGTCGTAGCTATGCCAGGCCTTGGCATGGGCACGGAGCATGTTATGGCCCACCAGGTAGGCAGCAGTCCCTGGTTCTTTCAACCCTGGGGCATGGATACCGTCTTCGTAACCACATTTGGCACACACCTGTGGCTCGTTGATAGTGATCCAAAGTTTGACGCGGTCACCAAAGGTTTGGAAACAAAACTGGGCATAACTGTCAAACAGACTCACTATACTCTCTGATTTCCAGCCGCCCTGGTCTTGAAGAGCTTGAGGCAGGTCCCAGTGGTAAAGTGTGACCATAGGTGACACATTGCAGGCCAGCAAATCATTAATCACTTTGTTGTAGTACGCTACACCTGTTTGAGCAATAGATAAGGCCTTTGTTTAGTAAAAAAGGTGAAACAGCACTAAAACCATTAATTAAACTTAATCTGTTATTTTGGATTTAAATCCAGCATGGGTCTGACAGTGTACCTTTTTGATTGACATGCTGTGTGGTCCCATCAGGCAGGAGGCGGGCCCAGGAGACAGACAGGCGATAGTGTGTCAGTCCAAGCTGCTGGATACACTCCAGGTCTTTTTCCCACAGTTGGTAGCTGTTACAGGCCACATTTCCATTCTGCTCCTCAAACACTCTGCCTTTCTGCTGAACAAACGTGTCCCAGATACTTGGTCCCTTGCCGTCTGCCTGCCAGCCACCTCAACGAGCACATAAACGTTTCATTTCATAAAAGTAGGGACAATGTTGGCATAAAGAAAAACCTCTCTAATGTTTCTATTGGGACTTTAACTGGGGTCAGCGTAACGGTGTCTTTGGGGTATCACTGGTAGAATTTGTTTTCATTTGGTTGTTTTTCTCTCTCTTTCATAAACACAACTATTTGTAAATGTCTGTGTGTTGTCAGACCTGTGAGCTAGTTCATAGTCCATGGTCCATAGATTATATAACAATCTGTGAGATGGTCCAACTAACAACACTACAACAAGGTCAAGATTAGGTTTTGGCTTATATCTTGTGCAGTCTAATGCAAATTTCCACAATATATACAACATTTATGTGTGGTTAAAAATGATTATTTTTAAAAACAGTTTGATGTGCAACTATGCAAGACTCGAATAACAGCAATCCAATGGTTTCTCATCACAAACTAGGGCAGAGTTACAGTGCCTTGCGAAAGTATTCGGCCCCCTTGAACTTTGCGACCTTTTGCCACATTTCAGGCTTCAAACATAAAGATATAAAACTGTAATTTTTTGTGAAGAATCAACAACAAGTGGGACACAATCATGAAGTGGAACGAAATTTATTGGATATTTCAAACTTTTTTAACAAATAAAAAACTGAAAAATTGGCCGTGCAAAATTATTCAGCCCCCTTAAGTTAATACTTTGTAGCGCCACCTTTTGCTCCGATTACAGCTGTAAGTCGCTTGGGGTATGTCTCTATCAGTTTTGCACATCAAGAGACTTAAATTTTGCCCATTCCTCCTTGCAAAACAGCTCAAGCTCAGTGAGGTTGGATGGAGAGCATTTGTGAACAGCAGTTTTCAGTTCTGTCCACAGATTCTCGATTGGATTCAGGTCTAGACTTTGACTTGGCCATTCTAACACCTGGATATGTTTATTTGTGAACCATTCCAATGTAGATTTTGCTTTATGTTTTGGATCATTGTCTTGTTGGAAGACAAATCTCCATCCCAGTCTCAGGTCTTTTGCAGACTCCATCAGGTTGCCTTCCAGAATGGTCCTGTATTTGGCTCCATCCATCTTCCCATCAATTTTAACCACCTTCCCTGTCCCTGCTGAAGAAAAGCAGGCCCAAACCATGATGCTGCCACCACCATGTTTGACAGTGGGGATGGTGTGTTCAGGGCGATGAGCTGTGTTGCTTTTGAACACACCATCCCCATTGTCAAACATGGTGGTGGCAGCATCGTGGTTTGGGCCTGCTTTTCTTCAGCAGGGACAGGGAAGATGGTTATAATTGATGGGAAGATGGATGGAGCCAAATACAGGACCATTCTGGAAGGAAACCTGATGGAGTCTGCAAAAGACCTGAGACTGGGGCGGAGATTTGTCTTCCAACAAGACAATGATTCAAAACATAAAGCAAAATCTACAATGGAATGGTTCAAAACTAAACATATCCAGGTGTTAGAATGGCCAAGTCAAAGTCCAGACCTGAATCCAATTGAGAATCTGTGGAAAGAACTGAAAACTGCTGTTCACAAATGCTCTCCATCCAACCTCACTGAGCTTGAGCTGTTTTGCAAGGAGGAATGGGCAAAAATTTCCGTCTCTCGATGTGCAAAACTGATAGAGACATACCCCAAGCGACTTACAGCTGTAATCGCAGCAAAAGGTGGCGCTACAAAGTATTAACTTAAGGGGGCTGAATAATTTTGCACGCCCAATTTTTCAGTTTTTTATTTGTTAAAAAAGTTTGAAATATCCAATAAATTTCGTTCCACTTCATGATTGTGTCCCACTTGTTGTTGATCCTTCACAAGAAATTACAGTTTTATATCTTTATGTTTGAAGCCTGAAATGTGGCAAAAGGTCGCAAAGTTCAAGGGGGCCGAATACTTTCGCAAGGCACTGTACTTTTTAAAGCATACTTAACGTCGTTACAGTGATCACAGAAGGTTTGCATCGTTCAATTGTGGTCAAGTCGATTAAAACAGACTTGTTGTGAACGACATTAATGTTTTTAACTCAAGTCTTGGAGCTATTCGTTACATTAAACTTGGTAATTCTGTATTCCGGCCCCAATCAACACTTGGCACATCTGTTCTGTTTACATACCTTCTATTTGATACGCTGAAGTTGCCGCTCCCCAAGCAAAGTCCCGTGGGAACATGTTTCTAATCGCTGCTTAAGCTGAAATCTCACCGCCTCAGTGTCTCTTTACTGTATCAAATTTACTTTCAGAAACGACCAGGAAGACTCCTTAATGTAGCGTTTGGGATACGACAACACGGTTGTAATCTCAAACTTTCACTGGTTGCTATTACTGTGTCATTGTTTGTCCTTGACTGTACCCTAAACAAACCATGCTAATGTGTTCCTACTCTCAATTTAAATTTTGTTTTTCCACTTGCAGTATACTTTACAAGTCAGTTTAATCCCACAGACGCGTTTGCAAGATATGCTCCCTTTTGTGAAATTTGGTTAATTGATCATCAGAGGCACAACGTTACCCGCTAAATGGCTGTTAAATTGAAATTAATAAATGCGATTGTTATCGGGTCTATCAGTCGGTCTGACTTTAGGTTGAAAGTTGTGTATCGAATTGCGATCGACGCGTATTACAAGAAGCACTTGAAGGCACCACGTGAGGCTACAGCCGTGCGTGATGACGTGGAGACGTTTGATTTACACTGCGGCGGCTAACTTTTACTGTCAGAGTTTTTGGTGTTAGTTTTCCTATCCATATATTAGTATGTCAAGTAAATAATAGGAAATGGCTTATCATAAATAAGTACAAGAATTGTTAAAGTTCAAAATAAATACAAATTAAATTATAATTATATAAATTATATGATTGGACCCCATCTTAAACAGGTCACTGGAGCTGTGTGAAGTCCCCTCCTGCGTCAAACGCTCCACCATCATTCTAGTCCCCAAGAAACCCTCCATCAGTGGGCTGAACGACTACAGACCTGTCGCAGTGCGGCAGCAATGTATCAGCAGTAAAGTCCTACAAGTTCCTGGGCTCCACTATCTCCCAGGACCTGAAGTGGACATCCAACATCAGGACCATCACCAAGAA